TGTCCTTCACCTCCCCTCAGCCCTGGAGAGCCCAGTTGCTTGCAGTGGCTCTGTGCCTGCCCCTGCCACAGCCGGGCAACTGGCTCCCAACTGCGTCATATCCAGCGAGGAAAGAGCAGCCCCCCGAGGCCTCCGATTGCCCCGTCAGGCCTGGCCCACAAGCATCCCAGCCCTGTAGCCAGAACTTCCCTTCACTGCTCTCTCTTGGCCCTCGGCAGAGACGACGGCACCGCCCTGGGGTTTCCCCTTCTGTCTTGGGCAGCTGCTAGCAGACGTGCAATAGCAAACTGCTCGGTGCAGTGGTGAGGGGCTGGGTGCCTGGCCCCGGCTGCCGGCGCTGAGCAGAGGTTCCCTGGCTGGAGGTGATGGGAGTGGCATGAGGGACTAAAACCCTTTATTCTCCAAACAGCTGCTCCCTGAGCGCTTGCTCCGGCGTCTGCCACAGTGGCTCACCTCGGGGTGGGGAGGGAGGAGGGGAGTTAGCTTTCATGGTCCCTGCTAGGGACGTGAATGTTAACCAGTTAACCGGTGGGGGCTGGAGCAGCTCCCTGCCTGCCATGGATAGAGGGCTGCTCCAGCTCTGTGGGGTCCACTGCGGACAGGGGCTGCTCTGGCCGGGCAGGAGTGACCCCCCCCAAACAGTATGTGAGACGGGATTTTACATCCCTCGTCCCCAGACGGCAGCCGCAGAGAGAGGCCCCAGCCACTGGTGGCAGGCCTGAGAACACGGCCCCTTGCCCCCAAGTGCCCTGGAGAGCCCCATTTCTCACCAGTCCCGTCTCAGTGACTCTTTTGCCGGGCTGGGTGTGTGTGGCCTTGTGGGACACAACTGCCCCCCACCCCCGGGGAGCACCGTGCCAGGTGTCACATCTTAGAAACAGGAGGCTGCTGGCTTCCCACCCAGTGGGAGACCGGGGGTAAGCGGAGCCCAGCCAGTGTGCTTTATGCAGCCTGCGCACGGGGGCTGAAGGGTTGAGTGGGGTGCCCTGTGCCCATGCTGCTGCTGGGAGGTGCAGCGTAGCCCTGAGGCCGGTTACCTGGCCTCTCCTCCAGTCTCTGCGCCGTTGGCAGTTCTCTAGGGCAGGGACTGGCACTCCAGCCTGTGGCTGTGGGGACCCCAGCTGGCCCATGCAAACTTCGCTTGGCATGGAAGAGAACAAGGAAGCTAAGCTGGCCCTTGCTAGTGCTTTCCCTGGGCTGCCCTGCGGAGTACGCGCCCGCCGGCGTCCCTGCAGCCCTCCGCAGGCCAGGGGGTCACTCCCAAGCACTAGCGGTCGTTCAAGTGTATCATTTATTGTCACTGTACAATCTAGGGGGTGCAGACAAAGAGCTGGGGGGGAGTTGACTGGTGGGATTAGCGGCGAGCTGGGCGCCGCTTGCTTTGCTGAGGCAGGAAGACTTTACACCTGCAGGAGCAAAGCTACAGCCGCAAGGATCCACTTAGCCGGCTTCTCTTTTGTCTTCAGGTTGAAGGTCCAGACGTAGGTGGGGCCTCGCATGCGTGTCTTGTAGACGGGGCACTCGTACACGTTCTTGGTGTCCATGCGGTCCACGGGGATGGCTCTGATGAAGATGACTGGCATCGAGGGCGTCAACTCCTTCAGCCGCGCATCCGTGATAACCCCACTAGGAACGTCCCAGCGAGCGCCTGCAGTGTGACGGCCAGTCAGTGAGGGGGCAGCCGGAGGACCAAAGGGCGCTGCAGTAGCCTGGCCTTGGTTCCCCGGTGCCCAGTTGCCTTTTCAGAGTGACTGATCCTGCGCCTACAGAGAGACTCTAAGCAGTGGGGTCAGTGCTGCCCTTATTCCCCTTGCACCGGGTGGGGGGGGTAAATCGAAAGGGGCCTATGGAGTCTGTTGGGCACGGCCCTGAGCTTGACCCTGCCATGGCCTCCTGCCTCTGCTGGCGAGCCCCAAGGCTGGCAGAGAGAACTCTAGTCGCTGCGGCCTCGCTGCAGCTTGGAAGAAACGTATTGCTGGGGGAGCAGGGAACGGCCGCCGGTCGTGGGGATGAGTGCTGCCCTCTGCTGCCCCGTGTCTGACACTGCACAATAAAGGTGGCTGCTGCCCAGTTGGCGCCTGGCTGCTCTAGTCTGTCATTTGCACTTGATAGTTCAGAAATGTGCATCTGTCCAGCTGGGAGTGTCTGTCAGGAGCTCCTCATAGACTTTAAGGTCAGAAGGGACCATTCTGATCATCTAGTCTGACCCCCTGCACAGTGCAGGCCACAGAATCTCACCCACCCCTCCCAGAATAATCCTCTCACCTAGATCTCAGATATTGAAGCCTTCAAATACTTTGAAGACCCCAAGATGCAGCGAATCCTCCAGCTGTGATCTGTGCCCCGTGCTACAGAGGAAGGCGAAAAACCTCCAGGGCCTCTGCCAATCTACCCTGGAGGAAAATTCCTTCCCCACCCCAAATATGGCGACCAGCTAAACCCTGAGCACGTGGGCGAGACTCACCAGCCAGACCCCCAGAAAGTTCTCTAGTAACTCCTAGCATCCCTCCGCTGGCCTATTCCCACTGATAATGAATGGTCAATTAGATACCAAGATCCTGTTATCTCATCAAACCATCCCCTTCATAAACCCATCTAGTTTAATCTTGAAACCAGATAGATCTTTTGCCCCCACTGCTTCCCTTGGAAGGCCGTTCCAGAACTTCACTCCTCTAATGGTTAGAAACCTTCGTCTAATCTCAATCTCCTCCTCCCCGGGAAGAGCTAGGACCACCGCATTGCTAGGCAGTGTCCTCTGAACAGAACTCAAAGCCAGGCCAGGGCAACGGGATGCGCCTGGAATTTGATTTTCTCATCAAACAAAGGGAGGGGCTGGCAGGAGCGTGATACTGCAGGATGGCCCCGGGGGGCAGCCAGGGCCAGAGATGGGGACTGAGACAGCTACCCCCCACTGGGCCGGCAGGGGGCAGGGAAAGGGGCAGCTAGCTACTCTGTACTTTGTCTGTCCCCCAGGCAGGGGACACGTGCTCCTCCCCCTGCTGCAGTGAGGGGGAGGGCTGGGGGTGTCCCCTGTCCCTAAGGCACCCAGTCCCACTCCAGAGCAAGGACCTGCGCAATGCTGGCAGTCTGCCAGCTGCAGGACGGACAGCCTGGCCAGTTTCCCGGCACATGCCTGGGGCGGACAAGCGTGGCGTTCGGGGGCGCCGGAGGAGGAAGCAGGGCTGAACTGCAGCCTGCAGGTGGCGTGGGATCCTCCCAGCTGCGGGTGTGAGGAGAGAGCAGCCTGGGCCTGGGGAGACGGCTGCATGCTGCAGCTGGGTTGA